AAACAGAAATTTTTTATACCAAAATAAAATACATCTTGTAGATGTAACTAGTTGGTTTACTTAGTACAAGGGCCTTTGCACCATAGAATATTGCCCTGTTATCAGCCCCTTGTGTGTGATAAACTTGCAAAGAATATAGGAAGTAAAAAGTGCCAAAAGTGTGTGTAATAAAAGGCCTTCCCTGTTGGGTACCCTTTGGGTGCAGATTTAATATGGTGACTTTTTGAAATTGTTGTTTCCATGAAGTATGAGAGTGTCTTATTGCACAGAGGATTGCAAAGATACTTATTTTAAAAAGTTACAGCAGGAAAAGAGATGTGAGAAATATCATATAGTGCACTAATCCTGTCTATTAAAATTTGAAAATATATTTCTAAACTTGACGAATTTTGTGTAGTTGTAGAATATACATGGTAGTCTGATACTTTAAAATAGTTGCTATCCATATTCAGTGACTGCTACAAATGTTCTTTAATTCAGAGTTGTTTTCTTTTATTTCCTTGTTTTCTGAATTTTGTACCAGACCGTGGTATGGCAGTATCTCCCTCTATTCTTTAACATATTTCATAAACTTACAGTTTGGGTTAACACTCAAACACTGATATGATAGAAATCTTAGATTAATGGTAGATTTGTGCTTAAAAGTTTGTTTCAGCTTGTTGGATTAAAGAGTTTTAGATATATGCCATGCCATTTCTGTTTCACAAAAGTAAAACTGTGTTCTATATTTCTGCAATCTAATATAAATTGTGGTTTGGTTTTTCTAGCACTTGGGTGGAGAGAATGAAAAATATCCACTTAATTCTTTGTCAGTGATAACTTCAGTGTTCCTTCTATCAGGGAACATAGAGTACCAAGAAAATAAAACTTCATTTACTTCAGAAAAATGACCATTTGGAAATATTTTCTATTTCTAGCACACACATGGGAACTGACCTTAAATGAAACACCTAGAGTAAACATGTTCTTGAAAGAATCTTTTTATTTCTTTGAGAATGTTTAAAAATAAAACCAGTTCATTTGCTGTGTGTTAACTGTATCTGATGCCTGAAACATACTCTGTGTGTGTGTGGTAGTTCAGTGATGAAACTAGTATTCTAGTCTCCTGCACACCAAGACCCCAATTATACAAGCAGGCTTACAGTGTGTGAATTATTAGATAGTTGTGAATTGCACTATCACCTCTTGGAAATCAGTTGTGCCTTACTGGGATCAGCGTTTAACCAGGAGATCAGAGCTCAGATAGATGAGTACTTTGCTCCTGGAATCTTATGATTGGATCTGAGGGGGATTTATGTTAATACCTCTGCTCTCCTTGATGTATAAAATTGTGGAAAAAACCCCAAAACACAATGAGCATAATCTAGTATGCCTGCAGCCAAGTTGAGACAATTATAGGTGTCATACTCCTCCATTAGTTTTAGATTTTGTGGCTCAGCCTGTGTTGCTCTACACTGTTACATGGGTTGCTGGATTTTTGGATTGCCTTAATTCAACTAAAGGAGTAATATACTTTTTAATGGAGTAGGTGAGAAGGAAACAAAAAGTGAATCTGACAGCTGTAAGATCATATAGTTGCTTTGTCTATTGTGTGCTTGCTGGAAATATATTTAATTCTTTTAAGATACTACTGTGCTTCTTAAGGAAGACAGTGCTGTAGTCATCATTCATGTGCTGTAGGTAGACAGGTAACTTGAAGTGGGGAATAAAGGAACACAGACATGGGGATAATCAGAAAAGAAAGTTTAGGAGAAGGTTTAGAGGGAAGAGAAGTGTATGTATGAAAAGAGAGAGAGCAGAAAGGGAAACCGTTCAGTAACTTAGAACATCGAAATCAAACCATTTGAATTCAGGCTCAATGTTTCCTCAGATTTGAGGAAACCTTGGAGTTTCACATATGAAGGATCTCTGTTAGTCTTGCATGTCAAGACTACAGAAGTCAAATATAGTGCAGATTTATGGATGAATGAGTCTGTGCTGGGAAATGAGAATGTTTTTCCTTAATTTTGGAATGTCTTAATAAATTTGTGTTAATAGTAACATTGCATTGACTGATATTCTGTTTGGAATTACCTAATTGCATACCATATCTCTCTTTAATTGTTCAAATTAAGTTCAAAAGAAGTAGCACTGTATGTTTCTAGTGTACATTTGAGAATTTTTTAAAAGCTAAGAGACATTATTTCATAAGGTCATTATGAAATAGTTTCATAGTCTTTAGACTTGATGAAACTATTTTTGTTAAGATTATGGACGTTTTGAAGAAACTGCAATCCTGTTTTCATTTACTGCCACTAAAATATAAAGGCCTAATACCAGCAGAACCAGAAAGCAGTTAAGGAGAATACCATGGTTAAGGACAGATGACATGTCACTGAGTTGGTTTGCTAGCAGTTGATAACTTCACATACAGTAGGAGCAGATTGACTTCTGTCTCACATCTTGTTCTTGGCCTGTTTCTTGTATGTAATATGCTAGGAAAATGGAGATCCTTAAATCGGGTGTTCAGTTGTTATTTGTGAGCAACTCTTGCATGCATATTCGTAATAATGAAAACTACTCTAGCAATTCCAGGGAAAAGCGGAAATAATAAACATCTGATACCACAAATTCTTGTTCTTGCATTCAGAGGTTGCATCAGAGGTTATACTGACTCCTAATACAGTGGTTCATGCAGAACAACTTGCTGATTTGGCATTGACATCAAAATACTGATTGCTTCAGCTTTCATCAGACTGTCATGAGACATTTACCTTGAATTTCCAGCTATTACATTAGGAAAGCTATTACACTGGTGAAGTTTAGAAAAGTCTGTCTCTGGTTGTGGTAAAGATGCTGCCTTCTCCAAGGAGCTTGTTGAATAAAAATGTATTAGAGCTCTTACATTAACAAAACTGTGATAACATGTTTTCTGTAAGTTTCTTGTTTTCCATTGCAAACTTGAAGAGTTTA